ATATTACAATTTAGAAATAAAAAAAAATAGATATTACAATATAAATATATAGTCTGTATATAATATTGATGTACAATTCATTTTTAAAACAAATGATTTAGTGGTAACTCTATATTTTATATTTATGTTTTCTTGACATAAAAATATTAGATTGTAACTACATTACAAGGATGGTCCCACTTACAAACTTTATAAACCATAATGCAAATATATGTCAAATCTTATCATCCTATTAGTTTATTGAAGTTTCCAGGAGATGATGTTGAATATTTAAGTTCAGATAGTATATGTCAATCTGAATTTGTCCATGATCAGTTTGATGCAGATTTATACTCACCTGATATTTTAAATGGTCTCAAAGTTTCAGGTCTACCAAATCATAAGTTAGTTTTAAAAATCGGTGTTCCAGTTATGTTACTGAGAAATATTGATCAGAAAAATGGCTTATGTAATGGAACAAGACTCCAAGTGATATCATTGGGCAAACGTGTTATCGAGGCACGTATCTTATCTGGAACTAATATTGAAAATCAGACTTTTATTCCAAGAATGTCTTTAACCCCATCAGAAAAAAAAAATTCCATTCAAATTCCAAAGAATACAGTTTCCATTGGTTGTATGTTTTGCTATGACTATTAATAAGAGTCAAGGACAGTCGTTATCCACGGTTGGTTTGTACCTCAAAGATCCTGTTTTTTCACAAGACCAATTATATGTTGCCTTATCTAGAGTTCAAAGCAGAGAGGGATTAAAATTGTTAATTTTAGATAAGGATGGTAGGCTAACCAATAAAACTTCTAATGTTGTTTATAAGAAAGTTTTTGGTAATTTATAATCAATTATTTTGTATCATCTTTTATTTATTTTTAGTATTAATTAATTAAATTATATAACTTGATTTAATTATATTAATTTATTGTGTTTAATTTATTCATGTTAATTAACTTATAATATTTTATTGTTTTTTTTTATTCATGTTAAATACATTTACTTAAATAAATTTTTATAATTAAAAAATTTAGTATTGCTTAAAATTTATAAATTTTAAATACTTACAAATGACAATGTTAATAAAATAAATATACTATTATTATGTATTTATCTTTTTTTCTTAACTATGGTATCTTATTTTATTATGTAATCAAAATTATGATTCTATTTATATTAATCAACCGTGGGTCCCATGAGTTTTATACCTAGTAAATTATATTTACATAAAACGGTAATCTTCTCTTTCTCTTCTAATAAATAAAACCTAAAATTGTGACTTGGCACTTTCTACACATCTATTTTGCCACGTGGCATCTTCTTATTAACCTTCCTCTAATTACGGTCTATTTCAATCATCCATAATTCGAAAATTGAATTTTGTATACTAAGACCAAAAAACATATCAACAAACTTTAAAATCACGTTAAAAATCAGGAAATTACAATAGCAATCAAATCCTATCCCATTTTGGTATCTATTCCAGCTCATAATTTTTGCTCATAGTACTGAGTCCCAAGAAATCAGGATATAACTAACGGAAGTTTGGCACTTAATTAGGAAGATCAGAAGATTTTAGGAACGTAATTGATTGCTTAATGTTGATATTTATACGATTTCAACTCTACCTGTTTTTTTTTACTTACTGGTCTTTATATTCATCGTTTGGCTCACTTCTGTGGAACCTATTCTTGATTTTGTTTTGTATATATCAAATTTATTCTTGGAACCTCATTCTGTTCTATTTGTATGTTTGATGAAATTTTAACTAATTATATTTTTGTGTCTGTATCTTTATCTTTATATAGTAGATCTATTAGCATGTTGATTGATCTACTAAAGGATCTTTATACATTCTTGGTGACTTTGTCTATGTAGAACTGGTTGGTAATCTCCACATTTCCTACTTCCATCTTTGTTTTCCTTCAGATGCAATCAATAAATCCATTACTTAAAGCTTCCCGTAAAAATATACATTAGACATCTTAAAAAGGAGATTGTATATCAGCCTATTACTCTGAAGTTTGCTATAAACCTTTTGTGAATTAGATGCTCTTTTGATTGAGCGATTTATCATTTGGGCATGATGGTTTTTAAGGATGTTGCACAGAAGCTGTTTGACAAAATGGTTGAACCAAAATATATGTTTATTAACCTTCTCTTGTGTGTATATGTCTTTTTTAGTCTCTTTGACACTCAAGTTGGCTATTATGTGTCTTTTCAGTCTCTTTGACACTTAAGTTAGTTATTACCTCTTAAGGTTGCTATTTTTTTTACTTATGAGTCTACCTTGAAACTTTCATAGTCTTAAAAATAGAGGATTCTGGAGAGAAGTGGTGAAAACTGAAAACAAAAGTCAGAATGATGGTAATGGTGGGGTTTATAAGAGACTCTGATAAATTGATTTTTGATTTTCCAAAAATGAAACTTGAAGCTGTATGTGCTTCACAAACTCAAGGTAGGTTTATTTACAATAATTTTTATAACCACATATTTAGTTTTGTTAAAATGATTTTAGTGTGTTTAAGAGACGTTTGTTTAGATAGAGAATAGTAGAATGTTGGTTTATTGGCAAAAATGAGGAACGAGTATTTTTTCTTCCTTTTTTATTGCACATTTGAACTTTCTTTTATAATGGGGGTATTTTGGTCTTTCAAAAAAATAAGGGAAGTAGTGGAATTGAATTCCTTTCAAGTGTTATAATGTAGTGTTTAATTCTCATACAGTGATTTAACTTAGTAGGTATTTTTGTTGATTTTATATTATATCCAAGATCAAATGTGCAGCAAATATGAAGCAGGTTCTAAGTAGCATATGTTTATTTGTGAATAAAAAAATTATGAAATGTCTTTTTCAACCAATATTAATTTATTATACTTTCTTTTTGAAGGATAGAAGCTATTGGGAAGTATTGGGGGTATGTTTTCAAGGACTTAATTGGAAGCCTAAAAAGAGTCGGATATCAAGTTGACCTACAAGCATCAGTGGTAATCAACCAAAAAAAATGATGTTATCATGAATTGTTTATAAAGCTGACTGGTTTAATGAGATTTGCTAATTTTGTAGATGATCCTGATCGACGAAAGGACAACTCTTTGGAGCAACAGAAAAACTAGGAATTGGCATTACTCCAAATAAATGACCTTTTTGTTCAAGGGACGCATTTCCTAATTTATTTTAATAGGTACCTGATGATTATGATGTTCTTTTTAATGACCGGGTTAAGAACCTAAATGGGGTGGAGACTCTCAATATATATGAATCAATTTAGAAAGATACAATGGTTTCAACAATGATCTTTCAAGTTTAATGACCAAAGAAATAAAAATCGGAAGTACATTTCCACAAGTTAATTTATTTAAACCAGTTTTGTTTATGTGATGCTTTGTATGTAATAACTATTGTGGATTGACAATTGGTATCTATAATTTATCTAATGTTCGTTGCAACCTCTCATATAGTTTCAAATTTTTATGATAGTACAAACTTTGAGTACATGTTCTGTTTTTAACAACAATGTGAAAACTAATGGGGTAAGTGAAAGAAATAGAACTACTCTGAACAATACCCTAAATGTTTATAATGTTCAAAAATGATTCCTTAATGAACAATTATACAGCTACAGCCAAAACATTTAAGTTTTTTAAAAAACAATTATTTGCAAATGTATTATTAATTATAACGTCTATTAATTTCAAAGTTGCTATATGTTGTCTCCCGTGTAGTACACGGGTTATAACCTAGTCTACTATAATAAGTAAAGATCATTTTTGCCAGATGTCACATTCTTATTCATTTTGTCATATGTTATTTTGTGGTTATTTCAAATTAACTTTTATCTTACATGTCATTTTGTGAGTTTTTTTTTCCCTATTTTATTAAATTCCAATAGTATTTAAATGTAATAATAAATACATATCAATTTCTTTAATGGACTTTCTTTCTAATTTCAAAATTCCTAAATTAAAGTCTCGTTAGTTTTTTTTGTTTATTTATCTAAATTATTTGTTTAAATTTAAAAAAGAAACAAATTAATTTTAATAGTTCAATATTTTTCTCACTTTTCTTATAAATTCACTTTTCTTATAAATTCAACTTCTCAAATGTTTAGAATTTCATATATAATTTTTCTTTTAAATAAACTCATGTAATACATGAGTTTCACTCCTAGTTATATAATAAAAGTAATTAAACATAATAGTAAATAGTTAACCAGAGTTTTTTAAGAATAGTTATGTCTTTCTTTGTAGTAATAAAGGATAATGGAATTTGAATGCTTTTCCTACCCCTAAGAAAATGATAAAATCTTACATCAAAAATACATTTTGAAAGTATCCAATTCCACCCATTTGATAACCAAAGGCATTACATAAACGAATCTTACATTCAATTCCTTCGGATTCCATCAGAATCCGCAAACATGTAAAATATCAATGAATATTTGGAAGTAATGGTTTTATGTATAAAGTTATTAATATATCAAGGATAGTTTTGTGATTTTAAGGTCTTGTTCTGTTGTGTCCCATATTGGTGGTAAAGGATCTACTAATACAAATGAAGTTGACACTTTTTTTTATTACATAACAAATTGACTATCATACCCTTCAAGACATTTTAATTCACCTGTCTGCTTTTTATTTCCATAAGAATGCACTTTTATCAAAAATAGCTACGTACTTTTCACTTTTACAGAATTTCCCAAATTCAAACCTCGTGACCCTCTTTTCAGCATAACTAACTCTAATTTAGACCAAATAAAGTTTAAAAAAAAAAAAATCTCGATTAAGATGAACTAAAAAAAGTAAAAACACTTTTTCTCACAAATAGCTTTGTACTTTGGATTTCCCCTAAAAACATCTGTTACTCTCACTTATTTTTAATACACTGTTCTTGACAGTTTAAAAAACTGTTTCTTCACACAGGAAAACAGAATGAGATCTCTATACCTTTATTAACTTCCAATTGCTACTACTTACAAAATGGGTTCTTTATAAGAGTAATCAATTTGACAATTACTTTAATAGTTTCCAATGAGAGTAGTTTGCTTTGTTACCCCAACTGAAAATCATTTTCAACAATGTATTTTGGGTTCCATGAACATCCATAAATGGTTTCGGCTTCTCTATAACCAGTTTTGGCTTTTCTCCATTGAATTCAAGAAACTCCACCATTTTCAAATGATTAGGACTCAAGATTCTCTTTGTTGTAGCTTCATCTAACTTCTTGTATTCCACCCCAACAAATTCCTAGATCATCAAACAAAAGCATAAGTTTTACTTTTTCATGTGAGGTGAGAAAATTTAAAACTAATGTTTTTTAATTCTTGGAAAACTTATTTATTGGCTCAATTGCTTTTCATATAATAGGTTCGAAGCGTGAAAGTGACCCATCATGTTTCAAGAATGTGATGCATAAAAAAAAAAAAAATACCTTTTTAACAATCAACTTGAGAGACTCCAGCTTGGGATAATAGTTGAGAATTCGGTTGAGGTCATCCATGGTGAAGGCATCAATTGTTGTGATTAGCACCAGAGTCTTTAGATTAGGTAGAGAATGATCATGTGCACCATAAATGCACTATGATAATGACGCCAAATAAGAGTTTGGAGTTATGAATAATGATTAATGAATGTACTAAAACACCAAAAGAGGAAAATTAAACTGCAAAACTGTTTAACCAGAAAGAAGAATTATGCATAAAGAGGATAAGCATGTACCTGATTGAAGAAGTAAAGGTCAATTTGCAAAGATTCCACATGAGAAATTCCAGGAAACAACTGATATATTCTGTTGCTTGATAATTGAGCTTCAGGTGCAGGTAGTAATCCTTGAGGAACTATTATGGCTTGTTTCAAAGAGTCTAGACTTTCGAAGAAAAACTTATAAGCAATATAACCTCTTAGATCAAATACACAAGTTTTGGGCAGGAAATCTTAATGCAACCACAAATGCGATCAATATCATCATTTTTAATTTGGAGTTTTTGGAGCTTTGGGCATGAAATACAGAGAAGATTAAGTCTATTCATGAAGCAGTATTTTAAATTCAAATCCTCAAGTAATGGGCAGCTTTGGAGAAAACCTTTTACTATATCTTCGTCTTCTAATAAGTCGAGGAAACTCAACATAAGAACCCTAAGCGCCGGAAACCCCATATGATTAGGCAAACTTAGACCATAATTGAACAATGCCAACTTTAATACCTTCACTGATCTGGAAGCCACTAGACAATGGGGCATCTCAAAAACCCTAGAATCAGGCCAAAACGTGAAATCAATTTGTTTGACATTTTTCGTAACGGCGGCATGGATCCACCGCCCTACGGTCGATGAATTGCAGAGCTCTGAACAAAATCAATGCAACCTATCGAAATCCACGGACCTGTTTACTAAAATCCAATAAACAAACTCTTCGAATTTCTTCATTGGATAGTATTTGTCTAGTAATTCTGGGTAACGTAATTCTACAGAGGGAACTAAAGTCCACAAATATCTCCATCTTGTGGACAAAATGCTGGTTCGAATTACTTCTTCCGTAGATGGAAGACCTGAAAGAATCAAGAGAAGAATATGATCCGGCATGTTACTCATCAAATCTACTCCATCTTCGCGTATTGATGCATTTGGTCGCTCGGATTTCTTCATGATTTAGGTGACGTGAATGAAAATTATTTAGAGAAAGCAAACAACCTTTGATCACAACGGATTTCTTCCAATTGCTTGATAAAAACGGTTTCAATTATGGTAACTAAAGGTTGGGGCGAGCAAAAATCGAACAGAAAAAAGAAAAACCTACAAAACCGTAATAAACGGCAACCGGAACCGATGCAAAAACCAATTGTACGGATTTAATTTTTGCAAAAACCAAAAGTCAACGGTGCGGTGCGGTTTTTATCCAAAAAACCGGTCCACCAAAACGAATTGCACCGCAAGCGTGTATAGTAATAAATCAATTAATATATATTATATACATGCAATGTAAAATACTTATAAACGATAATATATTTATTATATGTTTACTTTGTGTTTGTGTAAGACTGTATCGGGTGCAAAAAAAATTTCTATTGTGAGCCAAACGTACTAATCGACATGTGTAATAAGCTTGTAACAAATTAAGTCATAGTCAACCAACCTTCGATTATTAATTAGTTTGTGAGAGTAGTCACATGTTGTATTTTAAGCTACTTATAATCTTTTATTATGTATTTTTGTTTTGGGCTGGAAATGAATGGTTTCAAAAATGGGAAAAAATCACAATACAAGCTTACATGCACATGGTTTTAAGTTCTTAAGCTTTTAGAAAACCACACCAATAAGCATAAAAAACTGCACCAAAATCTAGACACGGTTTAAAACCGAAACCGCACTGATACAAACCAAAACCGCATTTAAAAACTGTAAAACCGAACCGTTGCAAAACCGCACCCAACGGTTTTAAGAATGAAAAAACCGCACCATACGGTTTGCGGTTTGGTTTGGCCTTAAAACAGCACCAAACCGCACCATGCTCACCCCTAACTAAAGGTGAACAGCAGTCAAAGTAGGTTAACGACAGTTTAAAAGAGTTAACGTTGTTTCCTTCTCAATCAGTTACCCCAAAAAAACGTAGAAACCCTAAAACCCCAAACCCTATAGCTACGCTCAATCCTTTTAACATGAGCCTATAACGATATAATACAAATTAATTTACATAAAGCAGATAAAACACTGATTTTAAATAAATAGAGAAACAACCCTTGAAATATTTGAATCTGATTTTTTTTTTCTAAATGTAAAAAATAGCAATATACTCTCATATACTTGTGTATTATAAAATGATACTCTCCTTACTATCTTTTACAACATTATGCTTTAAAATATTTTCTTATCAAGACATTGTACTTTAAAAAAAAGTACAACTTATATAACACAACTAGTTTTCCGAGCTAACCACTGATTTTTTAATCATTTTAATAAAACCACACAACTTTGACTCTTCTTTTTTAACACGACTATGATCACCTCCTAGAAAAGCTTTACAAGCATTTTTGCTCAAGACTCAAGTGAGATTGCACTATAGTCAAACAATACTCTATTTTGTTTGTATATCTTTACAAGCTTTTTTAACACGACTATGATAACTTCTTAGAACAGCTTTACAAGCTTTTTTGTGTGTGTATGTGTGAGAGAGAGAGAGAGGGAGAGAGAGAGGGGGGAGAGAGAGAGAGAGAGAGAGAGAGAGAGATTCATATAACATAAACTACATTGTGTTATTATATTCATTTTGTGTTATTTTGTGCGATCATACTTATAATACTTTCATAGGCTCCTTTGCTATTATATATATATATATATATATATATATATATATATATATATATATATATATATATATATGGTTAGGTTATTTTGTTTTAACTATTGTGTGCCAGAATGCACAGATCTCGACCACCGGATGGAATAGAATCAAAAGTCATGATCTGAGAGTCTATGATATTACAATAGGGTAACATGCACCATATAATCATACAATTTTCAGCATAATGGTATTTTGGTCAATTTACCTATATTAAAAAAGAAAATTTCCCGACTTTAAGGGATAATTAATTCTTTTATTTTTAAAATTTTGAATATTTTAAATTAATTCAGATTTAAAAATCCGATTTTATTCTGTCAGAATGACAGAATGCCAACCATAAACTAGTAAATATATTTTCGATTTTATTCTTGCAGAATGACAGAATGCCAACCATAAACTAGTAAATATATTTTCGATTTTATTCTTGCAGAATACATTTCCAATGCAGTTATATTTGATAATTGACCTGATTTAAGAACAAGATATTATTCATATACATCCAACTTGGGTCTATGATTTTATTCTTAATATACATTCGAAATTAAATACAAATTCATACATATTCTTACAGACTAATATCCTTATACATTTTAATATAGTTATACATATTCTAACAGAATATCATCAAACATGAATAAAATTGTTAAAAAATAGCATTCTTGAATATACAATTATTGAACAAATACACTTGATCATCTTCAATGGTTCATATAATCAACTTGATCTTCACATATATACTTGTTGTTGAACTCGATTCCAAATATTTCTCTTGTATGATTAATATTGAATTCCTTCTCCATGTAATTCTGAAAGAATAAGATACATTACTCATTAGTATTACTAGTTAAACAAATATACTTGTTGTTAACAAACATTCTCAAAGACATTCTAACAGAATGCATTTATAGAAATAAATTCTAATAGAATACATTACAGAATGCACTTAAATCATAGTCTTTTCTTCTATATGCATAAACATTCTAAAACATTTATAAATGTATTCTGTCAGAATTACTAGCAACATATGTTTTATGTAATATTTATATTCTCATAGAATGAAAGTTGTGAATTGCACAAAAACTGATAAGTAAAAATTGAAGAAAATGCACAAACTAATGAGTAAGTGTAGAAAAAATAACAAGTTTTAGACATGATAGCTCATACAAAATTCAATGCTTAGGTTGAATTGGAAATTAAGCATTGGAATCCAAGATTTCATTCTAATAGAATTGGAATTCGAGATTCCATTCTGGCAGAATTACCCTCATCATATTAGATACCAAGGCCTTCTATGACAATTTTTTCGATAATCAACTTACCCAAACAACACTTACAGCCATTAGGCACACGAATGTGAAGTAATTTTTCCTCCCTACACAATTATTCAACCACTGCACAAGAAATAATTTAGAATTAAAATTAAGTCATGTGAATTTACATATAAACAATGAAAAAAATTCTAAAAGAATTTTCATCTGTGCGTTTCCATTTCTTTCATTTTTGAATTTGGATCTTACCCTACAATGATGATCAAACCCATCAACACATTTATCACAACTTCTGCAGTGTTTGCTATACTTTCGAACCTATAACAAATTAAAAACAAGATTTTAAATAATTTGTCCAGAAAATCAACAATCATATCATAAGAAGTTGAGTATACAAAATACGACTTCAGAAATCGAATAAAGTTTAATAAAAAATGTTTTTTTTACAGAAAATAGATACCTCAGCATTGCATAGTGTACAAAATAAAGCTTCTTCCTCCCCTCCTTGTTGCATATCTTCATCTTTTCTACAATCCTCTATTACAATACAACCACAAAAGAATCCCCAAACTTTTGAACAACAACCTGAGCTACCATTATCATATATTCCAACATTCTGAAACCCAATCTTGCTAGCTTCTCCCAGATGATCCATTTCCTGGTACCCGATAAAAAACATTTGCTTCAAAGATTACAAAACGGGCGGGTCGGTCAACGGGTGGGTCAAAAGTCAAAACAATTTGGATCACTCACCGGGTACTTCGGTTCCATTATGGGATCTATAAGGTGATGCAATTGCCCTGTTTGGGTCAATTAGAATGCCAGGATCAACATGATCGATAGTTGTGCATCTTACATAAAGGATAAATACACAGAGAGCCTGAACGATTGTAGGGAAAACACAAACACATAGCAGATCGAAGTAGCGAATTAAGCATAAAAATCGTACCTGAAAAGTGTGAGCAGGAAGTTCCCATCCATGTCGCATAACCATGATCAATAAACGAAGTCAATAAACTCAAATAGCGGCAACAATCTTATTGATCGAGCAGGTGGAAGAACAGATGGATTAAAATGGCGGTGTTGGTAGTAGATACGATGGCGGCAACGGGTTTCAACAACGACAATCACAACGGTAACAATCAAGAGGGTAATCGATTAACTTGAATCATGAGAATAGACCGTGGAGCTGGCGATCGATTGTAGAATAAGAAGAAGAAGAAGAAGTGGTGAATTAGAAACGGTACTGAGTACGATTTAGGGCTAATGCTCTAAATTTATCTTTGATTCTTGAGTGAAATCAGGAATATTAATTATCTTCCATAATTAACTATGCAAAGATTACTATAATACCCTTAACTGATTTATTTAATTATTTATTTTTTCCTAAATTCCTATTGGTGCATTCATGCACACAATAGTTGCTAAAAACATTTGAACCTAGCTCTATATATAAACACACACACACACACACATAGGGGTGAGATCGGTTGAGAACTCATAGTTTCCCGAGAACTCGAAAACTAAAAGTGGAGCGTTAGATCAAAACTAATTCATTAAGGGCATGATCGTAATCTTATCAATCTCATTTAATGTTTAATTTTTTTGTTATTGTAAATATTAATATAAATGTCTAAAAGTTACATAATAAATCAAATTTTCGTATTTTTTTAAAAATAGTATTTTTCAGTTTTTTTTTAAAAGTGCAGATTTTTTAAATTTTTTTATAGAAAACATGAATTTTTGAAAAAAAAAATTGAAAAAAATATTTTTTTAAAAAAACTGCAATTTTTTTAAAAGCATTTAAAAATCAATAAAAATAAAAAAAACTGAAATATTTAAAATATACTACTATAATTTTTTAACCAAAAAATTCAACATTTTTGGTACATTTATGCATATTTTTACAAGTGCATATATGCATATTTCATATATTATAATATTTGCAAAGGAATCATAAGAAAACTCATTTTATTTACTAATGTATAAACACAATACAATAATATGTTATTCGATACAATATAAAATATCAAAAACAA